TCACACTAGTGGACATTGTGTTACACAGTGTCGACCGTACGTAGCTGGAAAGCACCTATTGTTTCATATTACTCAACAAATACGAGAATAATACATTAAATTTATGATTGCTTCATTGCCGAATGCGTATAAACAGAAGTATTAAAATCTTACGGTTGAACTTTACCGGTTCCAGTATAAGTTAACAGTTATTGNCCGCATAAACAAGGTCTAACTGTAAAAGACTGTTCAATGTTTGTTAACAATCTGTTATCAACACAGGCGACAGATATGATCGCAGATAATCGCCATTTTGTTGTCTAGATGTCAGCCAGACAGTCCAGTAGTCTTGCGTGCAAACAGTCCGCACGTATGCACGAACAGATCTGCTTGGCGTTTGGTGGCAATCTGTCGTCAATGCGTTCAACAGATCGACCCGACTGCGGTCAACGTTTTGTCATAAACACATGCTCATACGGGTTTGCGGACTGTTTGGTCACAGTATTGCTAAAGCAGATCTGCTTGCTATCGACCATCAATTTGTTATCAATTTCACTAACATATATGGAATCATTTTGGCCGCAATAGTTTCATGTATGTGCCAACAGAGTTGTAGCATTTTTTGTCTCTATGTGCTACCAGTTTTGGCAACACCAAAGCATGTGTCCGTACTGTAGCGTTTCTGCACACAGTTTCTGTTGACAAAGTCTGCGCAGTCAGAAATTGTTTGCTGGGTGTGTTTTTGTGTGATTTTATGTAGAACATTTCTGATGTGATTCTCTTGGAAAAATTTGATTTAATGTCTAAAATTTTTATTGAGTTCCAATTAAATTTGTGATTGTGTTCAATTTGATGTCTGGCCAGAAATGATGTATCAATATGCTTTTTAGTTACATGATTTTTATGTTCTTTAATTCTAGTATGAAGTTGTCTTTTCGATTGACCGATGTAACACATGTCACATATATCACACGATATGCGGTATACTATGTTTTTTGTTTGTCTTTTGGAACTTGGCCTTTGTGTGTTTTAATGTATTTAGACAAATGATTCAAATTTCTGTACGCCATTCTAATCTTATTATTGTTAACTTTAATATTGTTGAAATATTGTGAACTGTTTGGAACGTATGGTGTTACAAAGTAATGTACATTTTCATTGTTATCAGTTTCCTGTTGATTTTGTAGATGTTTATTTAATTTACTTAAGAAAAGCCTTCTCAGTCTTCTATTTATTGTGTTGAAAATTAATTCTATCGGATAGTTGTATCTATTAATTAAACATTGGTTTGAAGTATATCACTTTATTTTATGGATAATAATAATATGGATAATAACCAACCAGAGTTTACAAAACTATAATATATTTCAAAACAATGTTCAATTAGTAGAAATTGTCATTCCATATATGATTACATATTTTTATACAGTATAAGTTTAAAAAAAGTAATATAAAATGACACTTGTATTGTTGCTAAAAAGTATAAATAATAAGCAAAGCATTATATCTTGTCCTTTCCGATTCGCAGAACTTCTTAACACTCTCCGTCCTAACCCACACAGAACAGAACGTCAATGGACATCTATTAGACATCCATGATGGAAATTGGAAACATCTATTGGACGTCGTTACCTCTTATAGATATCCATTAGATATCTAGAGTTCACTTTTTAAATGTCCATAAGAAGTCTAATGTGATGTGATGTGATGTTTCGTGGTAATCCATGGATATGCAGTAGATATTTTACGGAGATTCTTGAAATGATTATTGGATGTTAGTTTTATGAATAAATAATAAAAATTAAAGGTTTTTATATGTCATACATATAATTTACGTTGTTTAGATATAATTTATTTTAGTTATATTATTAATATATATAAAAGTAAATACATACAATAATCTTATATAAGTGTGTTTGATGTGTATGTGTAGAACAATATATATATTTACTATATTATACAACTCTTTGTTATAATGTACTAATTAAACTCTTTCATAGAATATATAAAATTTATAACGTGTTTCAATTTTATATAGTAACATTTAACAAGTATAATCGAATAAAATGCGCTGTTTCGGAAGCAACATTTAACAAGTAAAAAAGTTATTCGGCATTTGCGGCGGACAGGCCATTTCGCTGGCTCGCTGCAGATACCCAGTTTCAGTAGATCCAACACTAGTCCGTAATACTGAGCGATAAAGGACGCAAACTGCGGACCTATTATTATCCTATATAGCTGTTAGTGTGACTTATATTTTTGTAATTAATGACAACGTTGTTCTTTGCCGTCATATAATTAGCGATGTTATGGTCTAAGGCTAGTA